AGACACCTGGACAGGTTTCAGTCCATCACAGAGACACCTGGACAGGTCTCAGTCCATCACAGGGGCACATAGCCTAACAGGCATGTTTTTGGTCTGTGGGACCGGTCTGGTCTGACGTCATCATCAGCTGAGCAGCAGCGCCGCCTGCCGGCCGCAGACTCTCGGCCCGGGACCAAAACAAACCTCCCGGGGCTGGACAGGCTGGGTGTGGGGGGAGGGGGAGGGATGGGCTGTCTGGGGTGGGGGGGCGTGTCAGTATAAATGTCTCGAGCCGCAGCAGCTGGGCCACAGAGCCGGCAGAGCTCCTGAGGTTTCACGCGCCGCTCCACATCAGTCCGTTTGAAGCCGCTGCAGGATGGAGGTTCGGGTCTGGGTCTCAGTCCTGACCTGCTCCTGGATCTTCTGTTCAGGTACCGGCTCGGACCCGCGCGCGGCCCGGTTCAGTCCAGGTAAAGGTGTAACCAGGTGTTTGTGTCTCCCTTCAGTTCGGTCCGCTCCCGCTGCAGAGACGGCCCCGGGCGGCCCGCCGCGGCACGTGCGCAACAAGCGCTGCTCGTGCGCCACTTTCCTGGACAAGGAGTGCGTGTACTTCTGCCACCTGGACATCATCTGGGTCAACACACCTGAGTGAGTTCCGCGCGCGCCCTCCTCTTTGTAAACGCGTTTGAACCCGACATGACGCGCCCTCCTGTCCATCCAGGCGCGTGGTCTCCTACGGGCTGGGGGACGCGCCGCGGGCCAGGCGCGCGCTCACCGACTCCAGGGCGCCCGGGCGCGCGGACAGGTGTCGCTGCGCGCGAGAAACCGACCGAACCTGCGCGAACTTCTGCCTCAGGTGAGAACAAGTCCAGACCTCTGGACCTGAGAGTTCTGGTTCCGGTCCGGAGTTCTGACACATGATGTGGTTCTCCTGCAGGTGGGAGACCGCGGCGAGCGACAGACAGGCGCAGAGTAAAGAGACAGACAGGTGAGTCTGACACCATCACACGCACTGTCCCTTCCGTGCGCAGGACGAGAGACACACAGAGAGACAGACAGAGACACAGACAGAGACAAAGAGACAGAGACACAGAGACAAAGAGACACAGAGACAGACAGACAGAGACACAGAGACAGACAGACAGAGACACAGAGAGACAGAGACAAAGAGACAGACAGAGACAAAGAGACAGACAGAGACACAGAGAGACAACTGTCTTCAGACTCAGGGTGAGACCTGATGTAAAGACGTCTCTTGTCTCTCGGTTCTGTTTCGGCCCGGTCCGTGTCCCATCACGTCTCTGCTGCGTCTCAATGAATAAATTAATTAAAATAATTAATTACTCGAATGTTTAATTTAGTAAAATAAAAATCATCTTCAAACGACTGTTTCTAGTTTTTAATAAACTCAAAATGATTTGAGCTCCTAATGAAACTTTATTTAGATCAAAGGAGCTGAAATGTCTCTTTATTTTTAATATTTAATAAATATTCATCATTAGTCACTTAAATAATAAATGATTAATCACGTGAATAATAAATATTTATCTTTAATAAAGTGACATAAATAATAAGCATTAGTAAAACTTGATTCTGGGATTAAATCAGATTATAATCTATAATCTATAATTAATTTATAAATGTATAATAAACATTTTAAAGAGACATTCTGGATATTTTGGAGTTGAGGTTCTATGGAAACATTATGAGCAGTTAGTATCTTACTTGCTGCAGAAAGTCATTTCTGACCCGACTGATCGTTGTTTGTTTGTTTGTTTGTTTACAGGATGGAGGTTATAAACAACAAACCGGTGTCGCCCCCGGTGCTCGCGATCAGAACCCGAGCGCTGCTGGAGAAGTGGACGATGGCGAGGCGGCGCCACAGGGCGAAAGCGTGGCGGGACGAGAGCTCGGCCTCCTAAAGGGACGCTTTCCTCCCGGGGGGGTGAGGGGGTCATCGGGACCGGATCCTGCCGGATCGGACCTCAGAGCCGGACTGAACTCGTCAAACTGAGGCAGAACCATCTGATCTGCAGGAGCTTCTGACCCACAGAACTCTGATCCTGGTCCGGACACGCAGACCTGGACCCAGAACCGTGGCTGAAATCCTCGGATGATCCCGGACCTCAGGCCCGCCAGAACCTGAGAGTTCCGTTTGGACTCGTTTCTTTCCAGAACCTGAACAGAACCTGTTCAGTAGAACTCTGCTGTATTTAAGTTTCACTCAAAGTGTTTTTATTATTTATTCATGGCTCCGGCGGCCATGTTGCTCCGGCGGCCATGTTGCTCCGGCGGCCATGTTGCTCCGGCGGCCATGTTGCTCCGGCGGCCATGTTGGTCCGTTTGCTCATTTCTGTGAAATGGTTCCGCTGCGAGGCCGAGACCCGGCCCGACTTTAATAAAAGACGTTTATTCCAGTGGAAGGGGTCGGCGCCGTTCTTCTTGTGTCCAACGTTTTTATGAGCAGAGGAGGAAGTTCCTGCCTGAAGGTTTGAAGAGAAACTGAGTTTCTGAGCAGAACCACGAGCAGAACCCTGAAGACCCAGGTTCTCACTTACTGTAAAAAAAACAACTTTTAACAAACAAAACTTCAAAAAATAATTTAAAGAGATTTAAAACGTTTCTGTTTACATACACACATACATATATATACACATACATATATATATATATATGTATATATACATACATATATACACATACATATATATATATATATATATGTATATATGTATGTGTATATATACATACATATATACACATACATATAT